CCAAGGTCCGGCCAAATGCCGGACAGCAAACCCAGACCTAGAGCTCCCCTCAAAGGCCCCACAGTCTATCTCCTGGAGAAACGCTCCATCCAAAGAAACTCTGACCAAAGCTGACAGCAGTTTGCCAAGGATGCTGCTCTCTAAACCAGGGCTTTTGTGCCCCTGTACGTCCCTAGGCCGGGGGCTTCTATTCCCGACAGGGACTCGAGATGGCGGGATGGCTAAGGGGCTGGCATGTGCGATATGCGCTGGGCTAGTGTGGCTTTTTAAGTGCCCTGCTTTTTGGACACGGAGCCGGCAGGGCCAGGAGTTCTCATGGCCTGTGTGTGCAGGGGTGGGGGGGGGCGTCCTGCTGGCCTGCTCAGTCCAAATAACTCAAATTCTCTGAATTCGCAGGATAATCTGCTTCATGGGAGCCCTGTAAACCAGGCTGACACAGACTCTCAAGCTGCACATGTAAATATTTGCATATCTTTCCAAGCTGTCCTTCTTTCTACCTCTAGGCATGTCTTCAGAAAAGAAAACACAACAAAAACAACAAAAATGCAAGTTCCATTTATACCTGAACCCTCCCCACCTCCTGAAATAAATGGGTGTAGGTGAAACATCACAATCGTTGCTTAGATTTATGTGAGCAGCTTAGTGAAATCAGGGGTTCTGATTTAGGGCTGTCCCCATGGACCCCTGGGTCCTTTTTCACCAGGTTCAGAGGAGAAAAGGAGATGAAGATACATATTTTGATGTCTCCATCCCAGCTCAAAGTGTGTACATGTAAATGTTAGGGGAAATCTGTAAAGCTACAGATTGTGCCGGAAGGATTTGGTTCTTTGGTCTATATCATTTCCATTTGCTTTCCAGAGAGGAGAAATTTGTCAAGCTTGTAGGGGAGCTGCACATCACCCCCTGATCAATGAGTCCCCCAAAAGACCCAGCTCAGGGACCTGCTCCAGGTCTGGATCCAGATCCTAACCAGATCCTGGTCCTGCAGCTACAGCCCCCCACCCCCCAGCTCCCCAGCTAAGGCTGACTGCCAGCAGGCTTTCAGATTGGACCAAGGTTAAGAACAGGGGCTTAACCTAGATGCCTATGAATCCTTGGCTGGTTTTGAAAACCTCAGACCCAATCCAAACCCTTGGGTTATTAAAGTCACCCCGCATACAAATCTTCTTCTAGCAACAAAATCTTCTCAAGGTGACATTTCTTTCTTTCTTTCTTTCTTTCTTTCTTTCTTTCTTTCTTTCTTTCTTTTTTTTTAATGCAAGGCATATGTGGTTTCTTTCTTATCACAAATGGTTAGGTCTGTTCAGAAATGAGGATTTTCCTCAAGAAGTGGAGCTGTTTTCTTCTTTCCATTTCAGAGAGGGAATGTGATGGCTAGACCCTGACGCATTCAGTGTGGCAGACTGTGATGGGGGACTTAGCTTTCATAGCTCACTGTGGAATTATACATCGGTCTTTAACACTTTCATTCGTGTTGCCACACAGAGGACAAACCATACCTTGCTTAGTTATCTCAATAACCCCATGGAGTTTGAATCATATCAGGAAGCAGACATTTCCAGAAAAACTGAGGAGGCAAAGGGAATGGGGACTTGCCAGGCAGCAGCTGCCCCCTCCTCCCTACTGCCCAGTTGGCTTAGTCCAGTTGTGGGAGGCTGTGGGGCAGGCAGTCCCCAGCGTACAGCCCATGAAGTGACTTACAAAGCAAGGAAGGCTGAGCCAGCTGGAGGAGGCAGGTGGGAGCCTAGAAACTGAAGAGGCCTCATGGATAAAAGCCTGGCACAGAGGTGAGCTGCTTTGGTGTCCCTAAGTGGTGTATCTCCTTGCTAGTGAAACCTTGGCAGAAAGATACACTCTGCAGCCTCACGATCAGGGGCACACTTACCCTCCTCTTGGATGTATTGCCTGTGCAATTCAATCCCCTTGCTATAAACAAGGGGAACCAGGGCCTGGCACAGAGGTCCTGCGCAAGGGGGTTCAGAGCTCTCCCTGAAGAGTCCAGTTGCTAGGGTAGCTTGAAAGCCTGGGTTTTCAGGTAAAACCACTCTGAGACGTCGAACAAGGCAATCTACGTGACCATACATGGCTGCTTGGGGTCCTAGAAGGTTCAGTGGGTTTGGAGGAGGCTTTGAATTCTGACTGGAACATGCACAGACTCTGGTACTTGTAGATTTCATAGCTTTGCTTTCCCCAGCAACAAAATCTTCTCAAGGTGACTTTTCTTTTCTTTCTTTTTTCTTTCTTCTTTCTTTCTTTCTTTCTTTCTTTCTTTCTTTCTTTCTTTCTTTGTTTCATAGCATTTCAAACCTTGGTTTCAACATTTACAATAAAACAGGGCCAATAATTCATTCCTTAATCCACAGTTAGCTCTGCGGATTGATACAGTAATGTGCATTGTAAAATATTCAACACATGAGTAACATCAAGGTTTAGTTGTTTCACTTACATTTTGAGCTACAAAGTTTTGATTACAGACATCGCCTGCGTGTTTAAATAGAGCTGTGGTGATAATTTTGCAACCTAGATGGCGAATGGGGGCCGCGGGACAAACTGGGGCGTAGGAACATGAACTTCGGTTTTCAGTCTGACCTCTGTTATATGGCTCCCTATAGAACCAGACTTTTAAATCCTCATTCGGAGCCTCCAGATCTCAGAAATATTTATTGGGCCCTAAGAACCGTCCAAGAGACCATTCGTTTTCTGCCTTAGGCATTGTCCTTATTTAAAGACTGCAGAGGCTCAAGCTTGGGGCTCCGTCCTATAACCCTCGCCTGCTGCAGTCCTATAACCCTCGCCTGCTGCAGTCCGCAGGCGCCGACAAACAGCGCAGATCGGAGTCCGATTCTCAGCACCAGGGCATCGAGCAGAACCTGGCCCGAGATCCCGTTCTGTTTCTCCCTGGCTCGCTCCTGGTGGGAAATTTTTAAAAAGACAGTGCGGTTGCTGGTGTCTTTGGAGTCCTAAATTCGGTGTTGGAAACAATAAAGGCTCCCCAGGTCCTGCGGGGAACAAGACCACTATCCGTGGTCGGTCAGAGAGCGCAGCGACAGTGTGGATCCCAGCCTGAGGTGCGGAGCCCGGCTAGCCAGCGCTCGGAGAGCGAGCGCCTGGTCCCAGCTCGGGCTCAAAAAGCGGCCCAGAAAAAGCACCGTAGCTCCGACCCCAGCGGCCCTTGGGCTGACCCCTGCCAGGGCCCGGGCCAGGTTTTTTTCCCTGGGAGAAGCAGGAAGGCTGCTCCTCCGGGCAGATTTTGTCGCCGGAGGGCCCACGATCGGCCTGGGACCCCTTTCTCACGCACCGTGGCAACACCAGGAAAAGCAGGGTCCGCGGTTCGCAAGCATCTCCAGGATCCTGGTCTTTGGGAAGGAAAATGTTGGCGCTCTGGGCACCACGATGTACACTGCTGACCTGGTTTAGGGAGTCGCCAAGGCCAGCGCTCGGTCTGTGTGAGACTGAAGGTCGCTGCTGTCTGCCTTCAAAAGTAGCTGCTCTTCCCGCGTCCCCCTGGAGATTTGAGGGCAGCAGGAAAGGTGTCCACTGGACTGCTATGATCTCTCTTCATCCCAAATTGAACCCAGTGTCAGTGTAGTTGAAACCGCTAGGCAGCCCAAGTACTGGGAAGAAGTCTCTTGTGACCCGTGTGATACCAAACCCAGACCTGATCTCCTCCAGTCCGCATCTTCCACCCTCTTAGTTCAGTTTTTTACACCTCTCTGCCATCCCCTCTCCACTCCCCTCTCCTTTCCCCTTTCTTCTCCTCTGCTGCTCTTTTTCTTCTTTCTCCTCTTGTCTCTCTCCACCTCTTCTCTCCTCTCCCTCCTCTCTTCCTCCTTCTCCTCCTCCTTAACGTTCTCCTCCTCCTGCCACCCATTTGACTGTGGCTGCCTCTGCCTGACTGTTGACAGCCACTGTCTATTTAAAATTCACATATTTTACACATCGTGACTTTTTTTGTTTTACAGAAACTTTGCTTCTTAGAATTATTTCAATATTTTCTTTATTGCTGAGGTTTTTAGGACACTTGTCTAAAATTTGGGCTCTCACCCTTGTGCTAGGGCTGTTAGGGAGATACAAAATCTGATCAAATTTTTCTGATCATGTCAGTAAGTTTAGGTCCCAAACCAAACTTTCAACTATGAAAGTGTTGCTCCTATAGTCATGGCGCAGGCTGGGCTATCAAGCAAAAAGGAGTAGAACCTTCTGCTTCACAGTGAAGGTGTGGGCTGGAGGGGCTCCCTGACAGTCTCAGCCCACACTCCAGTCATGCACAGGGCCTCCCTCTAAGCTAGACAGGGTCCACAAAGCCCCTTTTGAGCTGGTTTTTTTTAAAGGTATTTAATAATCAAACTCAAATGAAATGAAACAACTTCAGCAGAAAAGCAGCCCCAGGTATCCTGCTGTCACCTCCCCATCTAAAGCAGGACCAGTTTGTGAGCATCATTCAGTTCACCTGTAGCAGTGGGCATTCAGGAAGACAATTGCCTCCTTCATGCACCTTAGTTACTTCCCACCTTTATTTTTCTCCAGAGATAGCTGTCTGCTGACAACTCCTCCACATCTGTAACAGAGGTTTGGGACATCCTGGTGGGGAAGACCTGGATCTAATGCTCCTGCTACCAATGCTCAAAGCAAGTCATCCCAGGAACGCAGGAGAGAAACACATCTTATTCCCAGCAGAGCTGGCAACATTCACCCTCTAAGGGGCTGGATGCCAATTCCCAAATGCCAGCAGGTTCCAGACAACTTGAAGCACATGTTCTGTAAAAGAACAAGGCCTGTGTATCTAATAAATGACACGGAAGGCAGAGTCCAGGATTTGTTCACTCAAACATTGCCTCTCGCTTACTCTGGGTTGGGCCGGGCTCTGCTGGGCTCAGTGATCAGAGCCCTAACTATCCTGCTTCCTGCAACTCACAAGGATGGTGGCCCTGGAAGCAGGCACAGGACAGAGAGGTTTCATAAAGATTTGAGGAAAGCAGTAGTGGACTTAGGGAAGAGGTCAACCTATTCAAAAGCATTCATTGGTCCTGGGCCAGGCGCTGGTTTGTGGATGTGGATGGGGTTTTACACTTTGCATAAGATCCCTGCCCACCAGGATTCAAAGCCTACAGTGAAAAAAAAAAAAAAAAAAAAGCTGCTCATTACCATGCTGATTGCCAGCAGCCTGCAGATTGTACATCACTATGCTGCTGCTCCACTACTCTGTAACTGGAAGATGATTGGGGCTGAATTTTTTTTTTTCTAGTTTTCAAGGCTGATTTCTTTCCATTTAGGTCTTATTTAGGGGAAAACACAAGGTAGTCTGGAGATGTCTTTTATTTTAAAAGTTTTTTTTTCTAGTGCATGCTTACGGTACACAAGAATGACATGCATCATAAGAAGCTGGTACGTGCACATAATACATCTTAATTGTTTCTATACCATATCCCTCCCTGTGGGGGGAAAGCTGTGGAAAGCTGAGACAGGAGGATGTCCTGTGCAGTCCAGCCTGAGAAAGACAGCCATTCAACCAAAGCCTCTCTCAAACTAAAGCAAGAACTAACAGAAACTTTAAAATGTGAACAAAAAATGGTGCTGGGGGTGTACCTCAGTATGAAAGTCCTGCATTCAATCCTAGTATCCCCCTCAAAAAAGCATCAGTATAGACAACATATGTTACATTCCCCTCAGTATTTTGCTAAAAGAATCTCTGGATGTGTGGGCGTAGTGGCTTAATGTTAAATATGCCGTAAAGCACGCAACTTGAATGGAGGGAATCCTTTGCCGAGAGCGTACTAGGCTCTGACATCAGGCCGTGAAATTAGATTACCGATGAAAAGATCACGAGAAATACGGGGGTGGTGTTTGAAAGAGCCCAGGTTCCAACTCTGCACTTCCCTAGATAGAAAAGTCTGCTCTCTAGTCTCCGTGGTGGAGATGGAAGCGGGGAGACACCTGCAGAAGGCGGCACCCTGGGCCTCAGGCGCGCAGCACTTGCCTCTATTACCGGGCATGTTGGGAGAGTTTGTGTACATTTCAAGTCCAGGAACGCCAAATTTTCAGTGCATCTCAGACAGCATTTATTCTATTTAGCACAAACATACAGGGTCGGTAACAAGTCTGGCAGCATTACGGTGTGCAGTTTAGGGTTGCAGACAGTGGGGCGCGGAGGGCTAAGCCACTCACTGGCCCGTGCACTTGTGGCTAGCTTTTGGTGGAGCGCAGCACTACGGCTTAGCGCGACCTAAACCCGCACTCTTCAGTCTGGACCTCCACCCGGTATCGATTTCTCCTAACTTGGTGTGAGAGCGGCAGCGATTTGGAGGAGGTGCTGGGATTTCTTGGTGTTTGTAAGCAGAGATTTTCAGAGCCCAAGAACATGCGCACAGCCTTGCAGTCTGCGAAGTGATGCACAGGCCCACGTGTGCAGCCGGGATCCGCGCAGCGTGCAGCCAGCACCTGTGCAGAGCACAGGATCAGCACCGGGTGTGGTGGCTTCCGGCGTATTTTTCTTTTCTTCTTTTCTGAGTCATTACCTAGGCACCCGCAGTTCCTAGGCAAAAGAGACCTCAGCGTGCCGGAAGTCCCGCGGGTCGGGGGCTGAACTCCGCGGCCTGCCGGGTCTCCAGCTATCCCTCTGCCCCTGAGCTTTGGACGCCGACTGTCAAGGGTCGCGCGCAGGCAGCTTTGCCCTTTGCTGGCCGGTGACCCGGGTGATCTGTGCGGCTGTGAGCCTCAGTTTCTCGGGTTGGGAGGGAGAGGAAAGGCCACGCAGCTGGGCGAGCTTGCGAAGGTCTAGACGGCTCTGCAGAGTTGTGGACCTGGCGTTGGGCTGCAGCCGCCTCCTTCCCTCCCCCAGCACTCTCCTCGGTCCCCCGACTCCGCCCTGAAGATGCGCGCGGACAACAGCTCGGTCCTTCCGCAGGCTAGGGGTCCGGGTGCAGGCACCCAGACAGCCCGCCGCGTAATCAGGCCCATTATCAGACTGAGCTCTCGGGTGGCGCCGGCCGAGCTTTACCCCGGCAGCGCAGGGCGGGTGGGGGTGGCGTCCGGGACCAGCCTGTCTCGGCTGCAGCTGCCTGTGCTTCCGGCTGAGATGAACCATCTTAGCCCAGCCTTTTCCAGGCTGTTTTAGGGGTATTTCATGTCCCAGCTTTCCATCCGATGTTTGGAGTCGGGATAAACCAAGGAACCTTAGTTTCCTTATCGGACAAATGCGTCTGGCTAAATATTTAACTCAACGTGGTGGAGGCTAAAAACTTAGGACCTGGCTGACTTTAGCGAGTCACTCCGCTGCTCTGTGCCCGGTTAGTCCTGAAGTGGATGGCTTCTTGCGTGCGCCTTGCCAGCCAGCCTCCCTACGCACTGCGGAACGCTGGGCAAAGCACTCCGTAAACTTAGGGCCCTTACTGCTTGTTATCTGCATTTCTGGTTTTTATTTTCTGGGTGTTTGTTTGTTTGTTTGTTTTTGATGGCACTGAGTATTACTTTGTTTTGCATTTATTTTAAAGAGAAAAATACAGCACAAAACTTCAAAACAAGATAGTAGGGTAACAATGGTTAATACATTGCATATTGTTATCTTTAAATTAGTTAGAGAACAAGACATCAGCATTTAATTATCCAAACAATATAAGACCAAACTTTTCTTTTTAATGAACTATGAGAAATTAGTAGTGTGACTGTCTTGATTGTTTTGTGTTGGGGACAGGTTCTCACTAAGTTGTCAAAGGAAGCAAATTGATGAGTTTTTGGAATTGTAATTCTCCTGCATCAGCCTACCGGAGTGAAAGGATTATACACTAATTTGCAAATGTCTTTAAAACCACACAACTTAGTCTTAAACAAAAACAAAAACAAAAACAAAAACTTCCTACAAGCATCCAGCCTTCTCCTGACCCTAACCATATTTGGGGATAGGGGATGGGTGGGGCTGGGTGCTCAGTTTAGGCTTAGAGGAAGGGCATGTTAATCACCCAGCAGCCTCCTCTGGCCTCCAGAGCTCCCTCCTGGTATTTCCCACACGATGCCCTATTGACGTCCCATTTAGAGATAAAAGCCCAGCTTCAAACTCAGTCACCATTACTATCAGATAGAAGCTAAAAAAAAAAAAAAGTGAGTTCAAGGCTAGTCTGAACTACATTAGTTAAAAAAAAATTCATAGGAAAAAAAAAAAAAAAAAAAAAAAAAAGTCACTCACAGCAGCTCCCATATCGCCAGCAGTTTCTAATCAGTAAAGTATAATTAGCAAAGCAGGGCTAATTATTAAAGTGACTTTCTAAGTACTGAATGTTTGCGAATGGTCCTTAACAAGGACATGCTGGGCACACAGCCCAACGCTAAGGATGCTAAGGACTGCGTGGAAATTCTTCCTCCTGCACTCAGCTCCAGACAAGGCCTGGCTCCTGAGTTCCAGGTATCCCAAAACACAGCCCTGGTTCTGAACCAACTCTCTCTCTCTCTCTCTCTCTCTCTCTCTCTCTCTCTCTCTCTCTCTCTCATGCAAAAATCACAGCTCATAAGAATGGTTGACATGCTTTGAGTGCTAGAAAATAGCCAAAGTGCTTTACCTATTTTTCCCCTAATTTGACTCTTCCCATGTTACAGATGAGGAAACTGAGGCACAGAAAAATGATGTAACTTACTGCAAATCACACAGCTAATAGATGATGGGGGCTGACTTGAACTCCTAAAACACTTAAACTCCCACTGTTGTCCTTTACTCTTCTGCTTCTCTAAAAATACTTTGAAACCCATGGTAATTTAGAGTTGAAGGAAAACAACCTCAGAAAGTCGTTCCATTTCTAAGGCAGCACCTAAGGAGGTGGGGGCTATAGTAGCTGGCAGGGTCTGAGGTCTTTTCTCCAACAGCCACTCACCTAAGAGCCATTTACTGCTCTTACAGTGACTTGCATTCTTATATTGTATGACTAATGTTTCGTGAAACCTCATGTATGTTAAAACCTCTGTAGGTGTTTTTTACAGACATACCATCATTTTTCAATACATGTCATCAATTTCACTTTATAAAAATTTTTGCAGGCTTTTGTGATGATCCAGGGACCTGAATTACTTGAAAGTAAAACCACTGTTTATTTTAGTTTACTTATCTTATTTATTTATTTATTTTTGGTGGAACAGGGGATTGAACTCAGGCCTTTGCACTAGCCAGGCAAGCGCTTATTCTATGAGCCATCTCCCCGGCCCCCACCACTGTTTATTATAAACACTGTGAAAACAATACATTTTAAAGGACAGCATTTGCCAGGGTGTGGTTCACAGTCTTCCGTGTTTCTTGGCTCCACCCAGAGGCTGGAGTTGGGGTCCCTGGTGTTGAAGTGCTTGACCAAGCTCTCTGAAGATACTGCTGATCTCTGGTCTTCCTTATAGTCCTAAGAAAGTATGCCTTTTTTACTGGGCAGACTTAGCATTGAATTTGCCTACAAAAAAGGGAACAAGAACTTCCCAGCCTCTTTGAGAAACTTTCAGTGAGGAGTAAACAAGTTCCATGTTGCTCCCCCTCCAACCCTGAGCCTGAGAGGGTGGCTCTGCTTCTGCTGCATCCTTGGTTTCCCAGTGCAAGTGAAGGAAAGGAAAGGAAAGAAAATCACACATAGTTCTCCTCTCTCTTTTCCCACTACATAGAGAGGGCAGTGCTGGATGTGACCTTCCTTAGCTTGGATTAATGTCAAGCAGCGATCAAGACATTTCAGTGTTGGGAAAGACCAAAAAGTTCATTAAAACCCACCTCAAATTCCACCTCCATGTGGATGAGGGCATGGAAGGTCAAGGCTTGGGTCAAGGCATGACATGCCCTAAATCATGCTG